TGCTTAGGTGCTGTGACCTCTGATGGGGAAGAGGAGTCTGGGAAGACCCCTGGGGTGAGGGGAAGGCAGGGAGCCCCTAGCTCTATCAGCTAATTTGCTATCTATCACCAGGGAAGACATTTACAGATCTGGGATCCAGTTTTCTCACTTATCATCTGTGGATGATAATAGTACAGCAAAAATAATAACCTGCCATTACAGAGCGGTGGCTGGCAAACTAGGCCCATGGCCCAAAGCTGGCCCTCTGTCTGCTTTTGTAAGTAAGTCGTCGTTGTCTTCTTCGTCGTCATTTCTTCTTCTTCTTCTTCTTCTTCTTCTTCCTCTTCTTCTTCTTCTTCTTCTTCTTCTTCTTCTTCTTCTTCTTCTTCTTCTTCTTCTTCTTCTTCTTCTTCTTCTTCTTCTTCTTCTTCTTCTTCTTCTTCTTCTTCTTCTTCTTCTTCTTCTTCTTCTCCTTCCTCCTCCTCCTCCTCTTCCTCCTCCTCCTCCTCCTCCTCCTCCTCCTTCTTCTTCCTCTCTTCCTTCCTCTCCTTCTTCTTCTGCACACAGCCAATGCTCAGTCATTATTTATGGTTTGGGGCTGCTTTTATGCCACAGTAGCAATCAAGTAGTTTTGACAGGGCCAGTACAACCCACAACAGTGTACTAACTGGCTTGATCAGTGCCCTGATTACGGCAGGTATTGAGGGTTACAGGGCCTTCTACTGAGTTCATGCGTTATCTCATTTAACCAATTCTAGGAGGTAGGTTCTTGAAATCCCATCTCACGGATCAGCAACTGAGGCATAGAGATTACAAGGAATAACTGTTCTAATTGTGCTTTCTTTCACAAGTATTATGGAAAATCTTCCAGGTGATGGCAGGATGAACAGGGTTTATAGGACCCATCCCACATCACCACATTATCTGGACATCCAGGCAAGGGACCACTGGTGAAGAACCAGTGATGTTAGTGAATTCTTGGAAAGTCACTTTAGGCTTTTCTGATCAGTGCACAGCAGCCAGTTCTTCAGAACAACAAAACAACAATGCCACATAGTATGCAGCATGTGTTGATTTCCATGGTGTAAATACCTCTGCTGTGGCCGATATCAAGCTACAACATGGATAGAGCCACTGGAATGCCCACTGTTAAGACACTGTGGTATATCATCACATGGATACGCCCCATGTAGCTGAGGAGAGTAACATAATTAGGATGGGTTGAATATTTACTACTTTTTGTTTTCAAATACAATTTCTTGAGTTCTAAATTTATACAAGCTGATTTCTACTAATGTCTGTGTAACAACTGGCCTGTAAAGTTTCTGAGAATTGAATCTATTCTTGTGATCCATAAGAGCCCTGTATTTACTGTTCTCAGAGGTTCTTCTGGTCCTGTTTGCATAAGCAAAGAGTCAGGGGACAGTTTCTCCTAGTGAGAGTGTCCTTTTCAACAACCCTGTGATGTGTGCTCTCATACCCATCCTGAGTAGGAAGTAACCCTTCTGTAAATTGAAGGATCGCAGCCCTTTACCCAGGCCGTGCCATGCCCATCTGTTTGACCTGACTGGGGCAAGGAAAGTTTTTATAGTTCCCTGACAAGTTTCTGAGGTCCTGTTAGTTCCTGCCAACAATGTGGTATGGCTACTGAGGTGTTCTTCCTTGTCTGCTGAATCTATGTGGTATCCATCTCTGCCCTCTGTTAGGAGATCCTGATCTAGACCTCAGTGCCCTGTTCAGGGCAGGCACCCTTGCTCCAGGGAGGAGCAGCACACATGGCAGGCCACGTGTGGAGTGGAAGGAATCTCAAGCATGCTGCCGGAATCCTCTTGGCTCTGTCAGTTTAAATGGAGGAGGGGTCCCCTTCATAGTCTCTGTGTCTCCCATAATCTGCCAGCCTCTTCCCAGCTAAGGTTTTCAGAGGTCAGTCCTGGGAACACTCTGGTGGATTTGGCCTTGGCCTGGGGCCTGTTGTGAGTCCATTGGCATCCAGAAGGCTGAGACCTCCTTGCTCCTACCTCAGGCTGGAGCTGTGGCCTCCTGCTGGGTAGCAGTGGCTTGGACACTATCCAGTCCCCCAGTAACCAGCAAAATTCCTTACACGGCTAGCCCCAGGACAGAGTGCGGGCCACAGACCACGTGGCTGCCAGCCTCAGCCCAGGAGTAGAAGGCATGAGCTATGGAGGCAGGAATGTGACTGTGGGAAACCCAATGCCCTGGGCCTGGCCCCGGGGCTGGGCAAGAGTATGTGCACGTGTGTGAGGAGTGGGTGGGCAGGTGGAGACTTGAGCAGCAGCTTCCCTCTGTGGCATGGCTCCATGCAGATCAGTGGGAGCCCTGGCTCTGTGGTCTGCCACTAGCTGAACATTGTTCCTGGGCTGTGGTAGTGGCTGCTGTCTCTGAGCAGCGCTGTAAAGCCATTCAGGAAGAGGAGGTTGCATGGGATTTTCCAAAGGCCCACCTGTGCCCTTTTACCCACAGAGGGTTCCTCCTAGGTATAAATGTGCTTCTCAAATTCTTCCTTGTGTGACATGTCAGACTGACTCTTAAGGCTTGGATGGGGCTGCCTGATACTCTATTTCCTGGCTCCCATCCTGGGGCCTTTAGTCCTCTCACTGTCCATGTGGCTCAGGGCATAGAGATGGTTTCTTTCATGCGGTAAGTCTTCACTGAAGACTGTTTAGTGCCAAGTGTTGTGCGGGGGGGGGGGGGGGTGGGCTGGTTATAAAGAACTGGGCATACCTTGCCAGAATACCTGGTAGGTGGATGCAGGAGAGAAGCTGGGGGAAGTCGGAGGGATTTTTTGAGGTAGGCAGGTAGCCAAGAAGGTGCCCCTGCCTCAGCGATGCATGAGCTCCCCACAACTCCACTTCTGGCCTTTTTTGGGTGGTTAATTGGTGGTAAGAGTCTAATGACTTTCCTGCCCGGGCTGGCTTTGAACCATGATCTTCAGATCTCAGCCTCCTGAGTAGCTAGGATAACAGACATGAGTCACCCACATCTGGCTGTTCTCTGTTTCTTTAACAACCACAGCAATGTTCTGAGAGATACTATGCAATTATCTCACATTTACAAAAAGATTGATTCAGGGAAGTTTAGTAATTTGACAAAAGTCACAAGGTTAATGACAGGATCAGCATTAAAGCCCAAGTAATCTGGTTTTAGAGCCATATGAACATTGTGGCCAAAGGAAGTGTGTGTGTGTGTGTGTATGTGTGTGTGTGTGTCTGTGTCTGTGTCTGTGTGTATGTTTGCTGTGTTCTCCCTATCAGAAAGGAGGATGCCCAGTGGGAGGAGCCCACGCCCATGCAGGTGCAGCAGGGCCTGTCATATTACCTCTGCATATGTGTTGTGTGTTTACACTATACAAGGAGAATGGAAGGACATGGAGGGAAACCTCTACTTGCACTTAAGGTGCACTCTGTGGCCCTGGAGGGACCAGAATGGGCTTTAGTTAGGTATCTAGGGTAGCCAGTGATAGGGAGGGGCTGGAGTGGTGAGGGCCTGCTGGCTAAGGTAGAGCATGTGTTGGGAGAGTGTTCTGCTTGCAGCAGAGGACTGGAGTTGGGAATAGCAAGACTTGGTGTTGGATGGGGAGACAGGACAGGTTCCCAGGATCTGAGCAGCAGAACTCTGACACTGCTGGAGGATTCAAACCTGGAACCAATGGGTCAGAAAGTTGGTTCTGGCTTGGGGATGGGCAGGATGGAAGTGGGTAGACAGGCATCCAGTGGGGTTCTAAGACAAGGAAAACAGTTAAGCATGATTTGGAGAGGAGGACACAGAAGTGGCAGTAGTGTCACATATTTGGAGGCATGGGACTGGAGTATGGATACCTTGTAGCTCAAAGGTCTGAGGGGATTCTCTGGAAATGGCTCCAGCCAGGACAAAGGTCAGGACAGTCCTAGGGACTGACCATTCTGGGTGGGTCTGGTGGGGTGAAGAAGCCAGGGCATTCATAAAGGGTGTGTGTGCATCTGTGGGTTTAGGAGAGCCACTGGGCAAAGGAATTAAAGCAGAGATTCCTTGTTACTATACACTGACATCTCTGAGATGTATCACAGGAAGAAAAAATAGGGTTGGAGAAGTCCCAGGGAATATAGAGGGAGTGGGCAGTACCAGGTGTCTGGTAAGTAGTGTCATTCTCTCCAGTCTGGCTGCAGATGTGGTTGGAGCTTCTGGCCCTGGGAGGGAGACAAGTGAGCCTGAGGGAATGCCCCAGAGAAGGGTGTGTGTGTGTGTGTGTGTGTGTGTGTGTGTGTGTGTGTATGTGTGTCTCAGGGAGTGTCCTGGTCTTGGTGCCCTCCACTCCCAAGTGGCTTGTGACTAAATAGTAGAATCTAGTACTGATGAATACAAAACAACAGTCTGGCCATCTGAATTTGTGCACAGTTATCTGACAGATTGGATTTTGAGTCAGACTATAGCCCCACCCTACCTCCTGCTCTTGTCTCTGTCCATAGCTCTGGACTCTCCCAAGCCCTGGCCTGACAGATGGATGATTTGCTGTGTGGCATCTTCACAGAGATTGAGACCTGGTTCAGTGCCTGTATATCCCTGGCACTGGCACACTGTCTCTAAGTACACAGAAGTTGGGGGAGAGGTGGTAGGTGGCTCAGAGATGGGAGTCTGGGACTTCTAGACTTTGACTCCACTGGACGTATCCTGAGTAGGCAGAACCTCATTTGATTCTCCCCTGGAGAGGCCCTTAGAGTGCTTTCTTCTATTTAACTCTTTCCCTGGAATAGCTCGGGGTCCATTCTGGATGCTTGGTTTTCTCTGAAGGGGCAGAGGAGTTTCCCATAATCCTTTGGGGCTTTGACATTGGTGTATAATAATGCTACAGGAGAGGATGTGCTCCCCAGAGTGAAATCCAAGGCTAATGGCCCTCCTTTCAGCACTGTTGTACGGAGGAACTTCATGACCTTAAGGACCTAATTCTCTGGGATATTCTCTGCCAACTCTCAGTCCTGGGGTGGGGTGGGGTGAGAATACACCCATGACCAACTTTGTGTCTCCAGGGTGGTGTGGTGGATGACAGGAGCGAAGATTCCATGTCTGTGTCTACCCTGAGCTTCGGTGTAAACAGACCCACAATCTCCTGCATCTTTGATTGTAAGTGATGCTCAGAGGTATAGATGGGTGGGTAACCTAATACCTCTGAGTTTATGGAATTATGTGGTCAGGTGTTTGTGCTGGAAGAATCAGGTCTGTGTATATTTTTGTGGTCAGTGTCATTTGGTATGTATGCACAAGTACATCTGTATGTGCATGTCTGTGTGTGGTATGTTTGAGATTGGACATCCTGGGCCCTTGCATTGTACTGTCCTTGTCATAGGCCTGGCCTTTCCTCCTCCCCTTCCTCTTCCCTTCTTCCTCAGCCCTAACCTAGCTTAAGTACTCAGCACTCAAGTGTCTCACCTTTCCTCCTGACCTTGAGAGGCTCACTCCCACAGGGTTGTTTGTATCATTTGCTCCCCTCATTTAGGGGCAGTCCCCACCCCCTCTGTAACTCCAGCCCTTAGCCACCATTGGCTCTTCACCCTGGCATCTTTGTTTTTTCCTTCAAGATGGGAACCGATACCATTTGCGTTGCTACATGTACCAGGCCCGGGACCTGCCTGCGATGGACAAGGACTCATTCTCTGGTAGGTGGGAGAGCTGAGGATCATTCTCAGAGATTGATAGAAGAGATATTGGGCCCATAGGCCAACATCTAGGGAATGGGGCCTGACATATCTCCTTTTGGGTGGGGTGCAGTCATTGCTGGATGCTATTTCTGGGTCCTGTGGCCTCTTCCATGATTCACTTGACTCCTTAGCAGGGTTTGGCTTGATTGGATACTTCCTGAAAGCTCCTCCTGTCTTTACTCACAAGCCACCACTCTTTTCTGGCTCTTTAGCATCCCTCCTTTTCCTTCTGTACCTACTTTATGGCACAAATAGCTATTTATCAGAGCAGTTCATCCCACCCAAACTCAGCTCCATGATCACCTCATTCCAGCTCTTCTGTCTTCTGTCTTAGCCCAGGGAAACTCCTCTGAATGTTTCAGATCTGTTCCCTCCTCTTTAGTGTCACACTGCCACCTCATGCTGCCCTTATAATTCAGGTCACTTGGTGTCTTCCTGCTTTCCCTGCCAAGTCATACCTGGGCATGTGGCTGTCCCACTTCAAGTGTAGCTACTTTGAAATTAATCTGCTGCTCTTCATCCTGGCAGAAGACAAGTCCTGAGAGGTGACTTCTGTGAACCTCACCCATTCCACCTTGTGTTTGCCCTTTTTTTCCATTTGTTCCAGTTTTGTATGATTTGCTAGCATCTTTTCCATGTCTGGCCTTTGCATCAAACACCCTCTTTGTCTAGAATATATTTTCTTTTAGCCCAGTGACCCCCAGTCATCCTTCATTCCCAGCCCGGATGCCTCTGACTCTCCCCAGAGAGAGTTGGTTGCTGCGTCCTCATCCCATGGCCAGCATCTTTCTAGATCTGTCCAGATCACTTGCTGTCTATCTGCCACAACCTCCCCTCTTTGGTGGTGAATGCCTCTGGAAGGGACCTGGTCTTCCTTCTGAACCTGAAGTACCAGGTATCAAAAAAATGACATTTATAGAGTGTGACTGTGTACCTAAGCAGCTGCTGAGAGTATTTCATGTGACCCTGCCACTACCCAATGAGATAGATCTCCAATACCCCTGTTTTACAGGTGAAGAAAGGGAGACTCGAAGAAGCTTGCTAAATTGCTTGAGTTAAAATAGTGGGCAAGTGATAGTGCTAGGAATTAGAGGCAAGCCGTTACTCTCCACAACCTGCTGTTTGGCTGAGTAGGACTGAGTTTCAGGAGCTTGGCTTCCTGGTCACAGAAAAACTCTGTAGTTGACTACCATATGCCTGTGTTCCTTCTCGTCCATTCTCTCTAAGAGGGGACTACTGTGCCACCCACCCCTGCACCCTCAGCCGTGACTGGTTTCCTTTGCTCTCAGTGACCTACCCCATAGCTCCATGCAGCCAGGGAGGCATGGGGAGAGTAACTTCTCTTCTGGACTTTGGGGTCTGGGGCCTGAGCATGTCCTCTGTGCAGCATTGCAAAGCCATGCAGTGTATTGCCATTAGCAGTCTGGCAGCAGGTAAATGCTTGCAGTGATGACTTCTTGGAAAATATGTCTAGGGCTCTGACATTGGAATTGACCCTGAGAACAAAGAAATGGACTAACAGTTTCATTTCCACCTCATGAGAGGTGATGGGTACAGGCAGCAGGTTTGTGCAGGGCAGGTGACCAGATGGGGCCCAGGTGGAAGAGCCCTTGTCCTCTGTCGATCTAGCTGGCTGGGGACTCCTGCAGGGAGTGTGTGTGTGGGGGGGAGCAGGGACTTCCCCAAGGGACCAATGTGGGGAGCCAGTGTTCAGCCTGGGGACCCCAGGCTGCAGGGTCAGCTTGGCACTGGTCTGCAAAGACGTCACACTTTCCATTCTGGCTCCCTCCCCCACCCCTCAGATAAACATCCCTTGAGCTTTGAGGGCACTGCCCAGGGCTTCCTCAGAGGCCACCAGCTTCTGAATGAAAGGCCCGATTGAGCAGCTGTTGGAAAGGAAAACAGCAGCCAACACGGGGGAACCTATAAAACCCAGAGTGTTTATTTTCACTCCCAAACCCTAAACCAAAGCAATTTCTCCCCTGGAACTGACCCCAGGGTGGCTGGCGGCTTGAGGCTGTGCATGGCCACCGGCTGGCATTTCTCTGAGAAAACTCATGTGTGAGTTCAGAATGTCTGGGGCCAGGGAAGGGTCTAGATCCTTCTGCTCCTGGGAGCACCTAACATCTGTCTGCCTGGGTTTTAGGCAGAGGGGACCATCCTTAGGATGCAATCTTGCTTCTAACTGATGTGCTCTAGGCCTTTCCTGGAACTCTTCACTTCCAGGAATTATGGTGGGCTTTGAGAACTGCTCAGAGGATGGGGCCATATCTGCTCCTTCTCCTTGGATGAGGAACTGAGGGCACATCTAGAGATGCCTTACTGAGCAACAGTGAACTTGGGAGAAAGAAGGTCTTGTGGGGCATTGCTGTATAGGTAATCTGCGAATTGCAACTTGATGGGACTTCTGAATTTGACAAGCATGGGTCCACAGGAGAGGATCTGTGGCATGTGCTTGTGTTTTGGAATGTGTGGCCTGCCTAGAAGTAGGCAGACAAAATGTAGGCTGCTGCTAATTCCAGTGGTTTCCCTTTGCTGTTGAGATGGTCTTGCCACCTCCCTATGAGCATCTGTTAAGCATGCTGGCTTTACTGTTATTTGAGTGGAAGTAGAAATCACACATCAGTGAAGTTCCTAGCCCTGCCCTGCTGCTGCCCCAGGAAGTGACAGCCATTCTCTTTGAGCACAGTCTGAGTTGGATTGTTCCTCATTGTAGAGTTAAGAATCTGAAGGGAAATCAACAGGTAGAAGCTATTTCCTTTGCCCAATAGCTATTTCCTTTGCCCAATGCTTCCCTGGAGCTCTGCTCTGCCCTTTCTTCAGTTGAAAACTGCTTCTGTGTTTGTTGGATGGAGCCATAGTTCTGCCTCCGATGGAGGATTGCCAGGTAGCACTGTCATGATGCCACCACATTCACCCTAGGCTTGAAGGGCCTAAAGATGCTTCTTTGAAGGTCTCATAGATTGGTAGGTCCAGGCTAACCAAGCTAATGATAGTTAGCTAGCAAACCATACCACATTATTTATTAATCTACAGAGCAGATTTTTCAAGAAAGCTGGTCTCTGGATCCTGGAAGGGTGCAGTAATATTCTAGGTGGGTTGTCCTGAGTGTTGTTCCTAACAAGCCAGGATATTGTATGGTCTGATGAACCATGGCTGCTCCACAGCTGGAGCCACATTTGGTGACCAGTGCTTTAGTTTTCTCTCAGATCTGGACTCTGTCCTGAGCTCTTGTTTTGAGGCTTCTGTTATCTGGTCACTGGTCATTTTCTCCCTGTTCCAATCACAGTGTTTTGCTCAAGTAGGTACTGGCTGGGGCAATACACCCGAGGATATATTTTCCAGAATGTACTGGAGGCTTGTGAAATGCTCCACTTAAAATACTCCCTAAACACTATGAAAAATGAACTAAACAACTTGTGGAAGGGGGGAGGGGAAGGGAAAATTGGGAGAAAGTAAGGGAAGGGGTGACACTATTCAAAAAGAAATGTACTCATTACCTGATGTATTTGACTGTAACCCCTCTGTACATCATCTTCAATATTTTTTTTAAAGTGAGTTTGCTCATCTGCAGAAGCTAGGATAAATTATGTAGAATTCTAAACATTCACGTACAATGAGACCAAAGAAGAAAACTCTTAAGAAAGGAACACAAAGGTGCAGTGCCTCTGATCATGTGAAATTATATTTATCAAAATGAACTCCAGGAAAGGGAAATGAAGTTTTTTTTCTTTGTTGCTGTTTTTGCTTTCGTTTCTTTTGGTCTTATTTGTTTATCTGTCTTTGGGAGGGTAAGGATGGCAAAACAAAAGAAAAAAAGACAATAAAAGGGTTAGTGAGTGAGGAAAACTGGGACAGTTTAGAGCACAGTGGTATACCAGGCCTGCATGAAGCTGCAGCGGCAAGCTGCTAAACCTGAGAAAACCTTAGCTCTCCCAGAGAACGGGAACCATTCATTAGCAGGATTCATCCACATTGCATATCATGAATCTAGGACTGAGTGATCTGCCCATTTCCTTTTCTACCATGACCTGTGTCCAGCCCTCGCTATTTCTTTCCTTTATCCTTTCACTGAGGCAAACTACTGTTTCCTAAGTGTCTGTGCTCTGTGGTGTCTTTTCATGTGCCATTCTAGGTGCCTATAATGAATGCTCTCTTTTCCTTGTTCTTGGACTCCAGATAGGAATCTGTTTTGGGAAGCTTGGCTAGGTGCCAACAGGCTACATTGGACTTCCTCCACCCCTTGCATGGATGGTCCAATGTTCAGCTGCACATCACTTTGCATTATAATTATTACTCAGTTGTCATTTCTACCCTCACAGTTCTGATGACAAGAGGTTGAACTGAGGTTCATGTTTCCAGCACCTATGTTAACCTACCACATGACAGTCATTCAGTACTTTGTATAACAAGTGAATGATGTATCACAAATTGTGTCAGAGTGAACGTCTTTAGCTTTTGGCTAATTGGATAATTCCCAAGAATATAGGAAAAACGAGTATAAACCCTTTTATGTTTTCCAGGGCAGACTACTCATGCTCAATTGCTTTTCTAAAAGGTTACCGAACTGTTTCCGGCAATAAAGGAGAATACTTATTTCGTACTCATTGCCAACACTGAGTTTTATGATTTTTTTAAACAGTTTTTCTTAATTTTACAGGAAAAATATTGCTGTAGGATAGTTTCAATTTGCATTGCCTTGATTGTTAGCAGTTTACCCCACCCTCTCCTTCTTAGGAGATTGGTGTGGCCAAAGGAGCATTAGTCTAGGAGTGGGGAACTTGGTCCTGTAATCATGGGCTAGTGACTTAGTCTTTGGGGGCAAATCTTCCTCTTCTGACAAAGGGGTGATACTGAGAAGCTTAATGTATGGAGTACAGAAATCCTCCATAGAGCTGCAGGAAAGTCAGAGCAGCAAGGCTCTGGATCCAGCCAAAGAATTGCCTTTTTGGGGGACTTGGTAGGGTTCTTGGCTCTCTTGTGATGAGGGACTCTGCTGGAACGCTTGTGTGTCCATGTCTGGAGCCTCTTCAGGAAAGTTGGTGTTCCTCAGAGCTCCCACTCAAACATGCTCTTCAGCCTTGGGGTAGCTGCACATAGCTTGGCATGCTGGACCTGGGGGGACAGCCCTAGGCCATGATGGATTTGGAGCACCCAGTACTTCACCCCTCTTTGGGAAGCCACCTCTCCCTCCTCTTTGCATCCCTGCAAGTGGGTGTGTCTGAGTCTATCTAACCACCTTGCTGTAGCAACACAGGCCCCCTTCCTTGTTTCTTTTTTGGGAGGAGGGGCTGGGCCCTGTTGGGGGCAAGGCTAGGCCCCAGCACACAGTAGCTCAGTGTCTGAGGCCCCAGGCCTCCTGGCTTGCTCTTTACAATGCCTTTGTTGTGTGTTTCCCTCCCATGGGCGGGTGGGGCACTCCTGTGTGGGTCTGGGTGAGTTTTGTTTGAAAGCCTCCCTCTCCCTGTCCCCCTCCAGTGTTGAGCTCATTGCCTGAGCTGATGGGGCTTCTGGAAGGAGTCAGCCTGCTCCAGGGCCAGCGTGGGGGGTGCTGCCAACACCAATACTGCGTGCACAGCCGCTACAATGTGCAATTGTGATCTTTGTGTAAACGCGGTCGGTCTGAGGCCCGCACGCTTATAAAAATAAAGCATTGGGAAGCACAGGGGGTGGGAACAAAAGGGGCTTTTTCACTGGCTTTCTAATATGGTTTTATTTATCGGAACGCACCCTCCTTTCCTTACTGGAACTGGGAGAGGTTCTCTGCCGAGCTTGGAGCTGATGGTATCACAGCCAGACGGTTTCATTAAATGCACAGACGCCGCTGGGCCCTGCCAGGGGCAGGAGGGAAAGGGCTTAGGGCCAGCCCTACCAGGGCTGGTGCATGGAAAGGGGAGCCCCATGCCAGGGAGCTTCCTACCAGGTAGGGGTGGTGAGCCATGCTGGCCTCTCCCCTGCCCTTTCCTCCTCCAGGGGCCTTCCCTTGGCATCAGGTTCAAAACCAATTTCCTGTAGAGGCCCTCCATGATTTGACCCCACTGTGCTCTTGGGCTGGCAGGCTTGCCTCAGCCTCGTGGCAACCTCCATTCATAGCCACCTCAGCACTGTTCATCCAGCAGGTGCCCATGGCTTCCACCCTTAATGAGGAGATTCATCAACCTTATAACCAGCTCTTTGGGTGATAGTCACAATCTTAAATCCTGCTGTCTCTATGCCTTAATGGAGTCTGGCTGGTATCCAGCCTATCTTCCTATCACTTCTACTGTCACTCCTGCCAGCCCTTCTCTCTGCTACTTCCCATGCAGTAGCCAAGGCTTTCCCCTTAGATTTCTTCTGGCCAGGAAGTCTAACCTGCTTCCCCTTTGTAGGGAGCACTGTTTCTTCATTCTGGCCCCAGGTTTATATGGAATGTTCTTGCATCCTCTGAAGCCAACAGGGTCACACAGGCCCTCTTGAAGTCACCTGGGGAGTCACTGGTAGTGCTGGAGCTGGCCTGTGGGCTCAGAGCCTGAAAGCTAGTACAAGATGGGACAAGACGAAGCTCTCAGGTTGTGTTAGGGCATTGGCTCTGTCCTCCCAGACATTCAACACCCAACTGCCAGCCTCCTGTATCCCAGGAATTTCCTATCCAAGTACCTTCAACATTTGGCTCTATCAAACTGGACCCAGTCTCCAAGCTGATGTCCTGTTAGGAGCAGTTAGAAGAACTTCTTCCTCTAAGCTCTCTGCTTCCCTCCCAATCCCACACACTCAGTGCCACTGAACCTTCTCTTGCACTGGTTCCCAAGTACAGTCCCAATGGCAGCATCAATATCGCCTGGGAACTTCTCAGAACTCCAGGGTATCCCTGCCCCACACCCTAAACTTGCTGCATCAAGGTGTGGAATGCAACCCAGCAATCTCTGTGTGTGCATTCCAGGTGGTTCTACTCACACTCACATTTGAGAACCACTGTTTCCAAATCTACCAATGATACCTATTTGCTTTGGAACCAGGCAGAGAGAATGACCTGTAGTTAGGTTCTAGGCTGCAAAGGAATGGGTTGGCAAGGAGCTCACACCACCTGTTGCTTCAAAACTGAGTCTACACCAGGCTAAGCCAGTACCATCTCTGCCTGGACCATTGCAGTAAACTCATGACTGGTCTCCCTGTGCTCACTTCTGTCCTGCCTAGTCTGTTCTTTGAGAAGTACATGGGGATGATTGCTGAAACAAAGTCCTGGTCATGTTTTTCTGGTGGCATTTCAGAGTTCTCAGAGACCAATATTTCTTTCTGCTCTTCTTTTTTAAGGAAGCCAGAACACTCTTCACCATTGCCACAAACCTACTTCCTTATTTTATTCTTTACTTAAAATTTTTATTGTGAAGATGCTGTACTGAGGGTTTACAGTTACATGAGTACATTTCTTGTTGGACATTGTTACCCCTTCCCTTGTTGTTCTCCCACTATCCCTTCCCTCCTCCCCTTCCTTCCCCTCCTCCCAAAGTTGTAAAGTTCATTTCCAATACAGTGTCTTGTGAGTATCATTGTTGAATAGGTCATCCTGTGTCCTCATTTCAGCATTTTGTTATTCCCCGCCCCCTCCCCAAATTAGATAAATATATATACAAGATGCAGGGTAACAAAATCAAGTATAGTGACAACAGAGGATATACCATAGGGGGAAAAACATACAAAAAACAAAAAAATCACTTAGTACATTAAAAACAACAACAAAGAAAGACTTGTTGTGTCCATATCTTGGGGTTCATTTTACTTGGCATTATGTTATATGGTCATATGTATTCCTAGATGTATACTGATTATTGCAAATGAGGGAAACCATGGGACTTATATTTCTTTGGGTCTGGCTTACTACACTTAATATTTTTTCCAAGTCTTTCCATTTCCTAACAAATGACTAATCAGAATTGTCATTTTATATTTGTCCTTGCAGATACTTCATTCTTTCCTCAAATTCTGTTCCCACCTCCCAACATCTAGTGACCAACCTGGTGGTTAGACTTTGCCAGGACCTTACCCTTACTGGCAGAAGTTCTATGACTCTCAGGCTTATGGCTGAGACCAGACTCCATTCCCCCATGGGGGCCTGCCATAGAGGGTCTTCATAGAGAGGCTAGAAGAATCCCTTGGGAGAAAGAAGTTCCAGCCTGAATGCTATTTCTCTGGAGTGATAGCCACAGCCCTGCTTCAGCTTTGTGGTTCAAGGAACTTCTGAGCAGATGACTCTCATGGAGCTGGCTGTGTCCTCTCTCTCTTCTCAATCCATACAGATCCCTATGCAATTGTCTCCTTCTTACACCAGAGCCAGAAGACAGTGGTGGTGAAGAATACTCTGAATCCCACCTGGGATCAGACACTGATTTTCTATGAGATTGAGATTTTTGGTGAGCCAGCCAGCATCACAGAGCAGCCACCCAGAATTGTGGTGGAGCTCTATGACCATGACACCTATGTAAGTATCCTTGTCTTGCTTCTTGTGCCTTGCCACCCTCCTGCAAGTACAGCTTCCAGGGAAGCCATACTGTGAATGCTGTCTCTCCAGAGACTTTGGTACCCTATCGAATGTAAGGTTTATGCAGATGCCTCACCCTGCCTAAGTCTCTGTCCAGTACCGAATCCGAGTCTTGGGACCCTATGTTAGGTTTAATTTAGATAGCCGATGAAGAGAATGCCACGCGATATTCAGGCAAAAATAGAAGTTTTATTTTCTGAACTGCCTGGCCTGCTGTGCATGGTGGAGCCACATGGCTAAAGGGGTGGGTCAATGTCAGGCCTAGGGTAGGGGGAGAAGGTGTGGCCAGGTGGGGGGAAAGGTGTAGCCACACCAGATGCATATGTGACCTCAGAACCTGGGACCTCCCACGGTCTGACGGGAGGCTAGATTGGGGGGGCAGTCTAGGATGTGACCTCAGAGAAGGGGGGAGGTAACTGCCTCCAGGTGTACCAGATACGTAGGTGACACAAGTACTGGGCGGAGCCTTAGGCATGTGGAGGCATCTGCACAGCCTTCCCAGGAGGACCTTACATCTAGCTGTTGCTCCCCAAGACTGTGATTGGTGGCCTCTTCTCTGACCCCTCAGGCTGTAGAGTAATTGATACTATTTTAGAGGAATTAAAAATGGATTGCTAGCATATGTGCTGTGCTCCGTGGCAGACATTGCTAAGCAAATGCCATAGAGAGGGGGCAGATCTGGAAAGGGTGCTTGGCTGTGGGTTGGGAGCCTGGATTTTCTCTGTCTTTACCTTGCTTATGTGATGCTAGGCTAGCCCTTATCCTCAGCAAGGGCTGTGTTGATTGCACAAAGAATTGTCAGGTACTTGCTTTACTGAACAGCTAAGTGGCCCCTTGCTTGCAGTTGCCTGTCTGGGTGAGAGCTGAGATTCATCCACAGAGAGGAGAATTCTTTATGTGAGACATAGCTCAAGGATTAAAGCACTAGCTGAGCAAGCACAAGACCCTAAGTTCAAATCCCAATACTGCCTCCCCCCTCCTGTGATGATAGACATTCTTTATGACTATGCTGTCTAAGATGAGAGCTGGCAGCCTCATGTGGCTAAGAGTACTTGAAATGTGGCTTGCACAAACTAAGTCGGTTTAAAATGTTGCTGTGTTTTAGTCAGCTGCTGGTGGCAGATACTGGTAGCTATTCAGGAGGCTGAGTTCTAAGGAGCGTAGTTTGAAGTCAGCTCAGGTAGACAAACTTGAAAGATTCCTATCTCCAATTAAGTAGCAAAAAGCTGGAAGTGGAAGTATGGCTCAAGTGGTAGTGTACCAACCATGAGCAAAAAAGTTAGGCAAGAGCGGGAGGCCTTGAGTTCAAGCTCCAGTGCTAGCACTCCCCCAAAATTGAGTTTTAAGAAATTAAAATGTGAATTTAAATAGTTACAGGTAGCTAATTCTGCAGTGTTAGAAAAGATAGCTGTAGAAAGCTCCCAGCAGGAAAGTTGCACGAAGTTGGAATGCCAGGGAAGGTGGTGAAGAAGACAAGGAAGCTCAAGGTGGGGTGTTGAATGGGAGGTTATAAGGACAGGGGTGGACAGGCTGGGAAGGAGAAGGCAGGATGAAGCTGGGGGAACAGGGTGACGAGGTCAGCCCAGTATTGTAAGAATGTAGTAAGGATGGATACTACTGGAAAAGATGACTGGGCAAAGAGGCTGGGCCTGGGCAGCAAGTGGCAGTGGGCTCGAAGATATTTCTAGTAAGAGCTTCCATACTGTATGTCAGGTGCCCTGGGAGAGTGTGGTCACCAGAGAATATGGGAAGGTGATGTTCAGAGCACCCGCCAGATGGTGCTGGGAAAGCCAGTAGAGAGCAAGATGGGTTTGGGCTTAGGTCAAGAGAAAAGCTGGGGCCACAGGAGGGAATTGGAGAGAGGAGTCTGGTTAGGACATTATGGAGAAAAGTTCAGGGCCTGGCACCTAACTACCCCTAACCCAGACCCCAAACTCTTTGACAACATGCCTGGCTGGCCAACATAGACTGTCTTACAAAGCACCCAAATTCCTCTTCTTAAACTACTGCTCTTAGCCTGTCATTCTCCTGCAGGCCAGTGGGCAAGAGGGATCCAGGGGGAAAACCATGCTTTTGTTCTTTTTCCTGGGTTTCTGAGGATACACTAGGTTGTACCCATTGTTTATTTTGTACAGCTGGAAGGTGATCGTTGCTCAAGCTTCTGCAGCTCCTGCCTGCCCAGGCACTCAGCTAGTCCTATTCCTCTCCAACACCCAGCAAGCTTGAGGGGTGACCATTGGCCAGAGAAACCCGGACTATTTCCAGTGCTATGGCTACTGTCCACTCCGAGCCATTGGTGCTGGGTTGTTACTGTTGTGGGCACTTCTTCAGGAGCTGGTGGCTGTCTCAGGATGGCTCTTGGGATATTGAGGTCTCCTGCAGTGCCATGACTACAGGCAGGGCTACTTCCCAGAGAATGTTTTGGGTCTCCATGTGCTGGGCAAAGCCTGAGAATTTGTGAGGGCCACGGCATCATCTGGCTGAGACTGAGGTCTGCTGAGCTTGGGCAGGGAAGTGTCTGTGTAGGAGGTGGAGAAGGGAGAGGCCAGCACCACTGGAGGAAATAGCCATGCCAAGGCAGCTGAAGCTGGCAGGCTGGAGTGGAGGATGTGTGGGCAGGAAGTGAGGCAGAGAAGGAGACGTGTGCAGGCTGCAGTGTGAAGACTTTGGTGCCAGAGGAGCGTGTGGATGCTGAACTCTGAGCAGCAGGGAGCCAGAAGAAGGTACCTAGGCAAAGAAATTTGTCAGGTGAAAACATCATTTTTAACAAGACTCACTTGAATTGATAAGTGATATCACAGCTTTCCCATTTGGAAATGGAAGAATTTAAGGGTAAAGTGAATAGTCAGGAGATACATTCCCCAGAAATGTTGAACACAGACTTGGTTGAGGGCATTAGAGAAATGTAGAAGGCTGTTCTTCTGGTTCTAGTGGATGCAGGGCTGGATTAAATTAAAGCAAGAAGGACAGTAGTTGGGCATTCAGAGGGATTTCCTAGTCATGGTGGGAATTCAAATATAGCACAGTGGCCAGAGGATTCTGAGGTATGGTCCTTGTCCATTCTGCAAAAAGGGGCTGTCCTACCTTGGAGGTCCTTTCTAGCCCAGGAGGTCAGATGCAGGCCTGGTTCTCTTGGAGGCCACTCCCAGACCTGAGCTGGGGAGATTATTGACTTCTCTTCTTCTATACCTGCTTTAGGGTGCAGATGAGTTTATGGGCCGCTGCATCTGTCAGCCAAGCCTGGAACGGATACCCCGGCTGGCCTGGTTCCCACTGATGAGGGGTAGCCAGCCAGCGGGTGAGCTTCTGGCATCTTTTGAGCTTATCCAGAGAGAGAAGGTGAGCCTGCTCCACATGCAAACTCAGGAGGCCCAGCTGGGATGTAGGGCAAGGGCTTGGTGTGCACAGTGGGGTAGGGCTGTTACTCTGATGTACTCTTCTCCCCTGAAGGGGCCAGCATTCAGTGGGAGCCTGGGTGGCTTGTTCTAAGTTAGATCTCTTCTGGAGACCTGTTTTTTTTATATCTTTTCAGATTGGGACACAATAGATCACTGCAATAGAATGTGGGAATTAGGGATGTCAATCCTTTGGCCACTGGCTTTATTCTGCCAGGGAAGTGTCCCTCCCATGTGATTTGAGGGGTGGGGGCTGTGAGGCCTGGGGGAGGAGCCTCTGCTGCAGCAATAACACTCCAGTGGTGGGGAAGGACAAGATCCAGGGTTCAGTGCTGGTTCTGCCACGGCCTGACTATGTGTCTGTGTGGCCTCGGCAGCCAAATACCTGCTAGGAAACAAACTGCCCTTAAGTTTGTTCTTGCTATGATGTGAACCCCAAAGTGTAAACTATGCCTTCTCCCAGGAAACAGTTTACAAAGCTCTGGTTTGTCTAATCAGGGATATGTTCTATTGCTGTCATTTATGTGTTTGTCTGGCCAGAACGGAGATGTTACTTGGGTGTCACTTGGGTAACAAGTACATGACCAAAGTCTCCTCTCCTTTTCCTAGCCGGCCATCCACCATATTCCTGGTTTCGAGGTAAGTCTTGTTTTTATGTTTAAACTGATTTCTAGCTTCCCTGTGATCACAATCTTTTCAGGCTAGGCATGACAGACAGAAGGTCCTGACCCCATCCCACCTAGATGTTGTAGAACTTTGGTACCAAGTTTATGGGATTCCGAGGCCAGAACAGGTGCAGCTGCAGCTGTCTGGGATGTGTGGACTCCTCATTTGCCTTCATGAGGCAGCCCACTCATTCTAGACAGTTCTTGCCACACAAACTCTCCTTTGCCCCATCTCTCTCGCTCCCTGTGTCTTCCATACTCCTAGCCCATCTGAGCTTTAGAGCTCAGTTTTTATAGGCCTGTAGACTCGAGGTTGTTGTTCTCCTTGGCTCAGCAAATCCACAGGCTTCTGCAGGAGCAACAACTCTAGGGGCCTGATTACTTCTGGGGCTACTGCCCAGGGTCCCAGGCCCTTCCCATTCCCTGTTCTGTTACTCTCTTTCCTCCTCCCATTTCTGGAGCTGTGTGGATTCTTCTGCTTGGCATTCATTGGTTCCTCTGGCTCTGGGACCACCTTGGGGGGTGGGTGTGGGTGAGAGTTTCACCATATCTGTGGTGTGTTGATGTCTGGTATTGCCCAGCTATGCTCCTGATTACTAATGGAGAACTTTGCCCCATTTTTGTTCCCCTACTCTTGCCTGGATATGGAACATCTTGTGGTTGTGATCTAGGTACAAGACACATCAAGGATCCTGGATGAGGTGAGCTGAACCTGTGGCTGGGGAGAGGGGGGTAGCAGACACAGATGGAGGTACAGACCCACTCCAGCATGTGTCCAGAGCCTTTCAGTTTCCCAGTACCCAGAAGGCATGAGTCACATGGAAACCCATCTAGATTTTGTTCCCTATGCTCTGTGTGGATCCATGACAGCCTAGGGTATATCCAGGGGGTGATTCTAGCTTCAGACTCTTAAGAGGTGCCTATTAAGAGGCCAAACTCACCTATACTACTCAGATGAGGATATCTGGTTAAGTAGCAGGTGACATATGTTCATGAATAAGATGTTCAGTAGTGGAAAGAGTAGCCAAGGAAGCCCTCTGGTGAAAGCAGCATTAGTTGGACATTGTTGTAGCACTTAGGAAGAAGATGGTAAATGAGTGCTTGGTCCATGGAGCTAAGACATAATACAGGGTCCCAGAAGGGAAGTGCTGCGGGTCGTTGGGAACTGAAGAAGTTTGGAGTTTGCGTCTTAACAAAACAGACCACATCCCCGAGGGTGAGAGGCATCTGTGAGGATCCTGGTTATGGGCGAGCTGGGGTGGGGGGTGGGGCAGGGAGACAGGACGGAGAGCCCTGGGTGAACTGGGGAAAGGGCAGCCACTTCCTGCAATCAGGGAATCCCCAGCCTGGGAGCGGACACCATTTGACATTTTCAGTACATTTGGACTCGAAGCTCAGGATCAGGATGTGGGATCTGAAGGCCCTGCGCCTCTTACCTCACTTCCTTTTGCTCCCAGACCAAGGTGGGGTCCGCCAAGTGAGCTGGCCATAATTGCGCCTGACAGGCAGCCTCCTGCTTCTGGCTGCAGTTGCGAAAGACTGCCGTTTGGAAAGGGAGGCAGAGTCCTGTCCAGGGAAGCAGCACAGAGCCCTCACTCTTGATTGAGAGCACTCTGTGGCCAAAACCCACAGCCTGCTCTAAAGAAGACCCAGCCCAGGGATGGGTTATTAAACAACAACAAAAAAAAGAAGCTAAAATCCTTAATAACTGGATTTGTCATATATAACAGCAAAGGCTCAGATTCTGAGAGCAGGGATCTGGCTGTGGTCTGGTTGTCAGGAAGCAAATCAAAATTGCAGTTTGGGGCCAGACCTAAAGAAAGCCAAGTGTCCTACTAGGGCCAGCCAGGCCACAGACTGAGGCCTTTTGTGGTCAGCAGGGCTGGGAGAGAAGCAGTCCTGGGGGTCTCCTGGAGGGGTTGGTCTGAGCCACAGGTTCAAAAGGTCTGAGGCCCAGTAGAATATGAGGGGTGTATCATCTGATTCAGGGGACAACCCCACAAAATGACTTGTGATTGCCTTCATCCCTTGGGGGTGTTCAATCCAGCTATGGCCAGTAGCTCAGCTCATTTCTCCCTCACTAGAAGACTGAGTCCAAGTCAAGACTCTGGGTGCTGTTTGGCTTTAAGATTCCAAAAAGAGGCTGGGAGCCGATGGCTCTTACCTGTAATCCTAGCTACTCTGGAGGCTGAGATCTGAGGATCTAGGATCAAAGCCAGCCCGGGCAGGAAAGTCCATGAGATTCTTTTTTTTTTTTGGGTCCGGTCGTGGGGCCTGAACTCTGGGCCTGGGCGCTGTCCCTCAGCTCTTCAGTTCAAGGCTAACGCTCTACCACTTGAGCCACAGCGCCACTTCCGGCTTTTTTCTTTTTGCTTATGTGGTGCTGAGGAATCGAACCCAGGGCCTCAGGCATGCAAGGCAAGCGCTTTACCACTGAGCCAACTTCCCAGCCCAAGTCCATGAGATTCTTATCTCCAATAAACCACCAGAAAACTGTAAGTGGTGCTGTGGCTCAAGCGGTACAGAGCTAGCTTTGAGCTGAAGAGCTCAGGGACAGCACCCAGGCCCAGAATTCAAGCCCCATGACTCACAAAAGATTCCCAAAGAGCTGGGTGGAAGCCAAGAGGTTCCACAGGAAGGCCTGACATCTTGGTAGGGTTTTTCTTTTTTGCTACATCCTACCTCCTGCCTTATGTTGCCATTCAGCCTCTCATAGACTCTCCCTGTATACCAGCCTTCTCACTGGTAATGGGAGCTCTGGGAAGTCTGGAATGGGGACAGGTGAGGGATTAGGAAGTTACTGGGAGAGCCTAGCTAAGTGATGATTGAGACAGTTGCAGTGATAGAGGTCCAGCCTCCAGTGGGGGTGGCTGGGGTGTGGTCGGGAGAAACAACTTGGATCAGCAATCTAAAGACCCCACCAGTGGGAAGCAACTCTCCTCTATCTCAGCCAGGTATAGAGATTCACATGCATCTGTATAGAAGCTACAATGCCCATGAGTGAGATATAATGCTGGTTGCCCTGGCAGAGGGCTTGTGGACTGGCCTCCTGGAAGAAGAGACACTGAACTAGTTTTGAAGCCGGGATTGGCAGAAAGGGTGAGGGAGGGGTACCGAGCACTTTAGATTCCTTGAATCTGGAGTACATTCCAGCCTCAGGTCAGCTTGATGAGCGAGAGTATCCCTCTTTTAGGCTCTATCCATCCTGAAAGTTCCTTCTGGGGCTCTTGGGAAAGTGGACTGTTACATTGTATTGGAGGCCTGGGTCCTTAACACCAGAGGGTAGACAGAAGGAGTGGCTTCTTTCTGCTCTCCCAACCTGCCGGTCTTTTTGCCTTTGTCTTTTGCGCTTTTTCTGAATCTCTTCCCATCCTCCCCTTCACATTTCAACCTTCCTCTCTGTACTCCCTGGCCCACCTCCCTCCTTCTCCCGCCTCTTCTGAGTCCCTGTCTTGTTCCTTTCCTTTTTTGTCTGGAGAACAAAGGCGGTCCATGCTGCCAAGGGGGAATGAGTTCAAACAAATTGCAATTTTAGATTTCCTGGGAAATGGAGGGTGTGTGCATGCACGTGTGAGCACGTCGCACGCGTGTGTACACTCTTGAGAACACACGCACACGCACACTTGGCAGGGGAGTTGCTGGTGAGCTCCTTACAAGCGGGACCCCTGTGAAGTGGAATGCATATAGAGGAAGACCCCCAGGGCTTTGAGGTTCCACCATCCAGGGGGTGTGGTTCTGTCTCTTCTGCTCCGTGGCAGGGGATGCCCCAGTGGAAGGCTTTGTATGCTTCCTGGCTGGCTTCATTGCCACTGAAGTGCCAACCATCTGCTGCCCTGTTCACCTTTCCCAATCCAGACGACAGGTTGTATGTCTTTTATTTTGTGATACGCTGGAGGTAGTCTCTTCGCACCCTTACAAACACTAGAAAGAAAAAAAAAATCACTGTTTTGCAATCAGGAAAAAACCCCAGTGGTCCCCATCCCCCTCCTCCTCCCCCAAGGCCTTAATTTGAAACACTATTTTTCCTGGGAAGTGTAATTAGAGCAACATGTTGTTCCTAACGAGCTGGGTGGGGCATGCAGACAATGGAGCCCTCCCAGCCTGCCTGGCTGCCCCCTGCCTGGAGCTCCCTGAGGAACTGGGATGTGGATGTCCAGAGGGTCTCCTTGCTGTCTCCCGCCGCAGGAGGTGGGAGGTCTATGGGCTACTGGTGACAGGGCAGTCTAGATGGCTGGAGAGGCTTGTCCACACTTCCCCCGCCCTGGAAAGGAATATCTGTCTAGTGTGTGTGTATGGGGGGGGGTGTCACTAGACAGAGGGGTGCTCTCCTCATGATGCAGGGCCTCAGCTCCCAGTGCTGGACTGGCCATAGGGCAGTAGATAAAGGGGACTTAAAGGTGGCGTCTGCTTTGATGGAGAGAAAGCCTCTATTGTTCTTGGTGGCCTTGGTTGGAACTGGCTTGATGAAACACCCTGCCCACTAGTAGATGCAGTCTGTGTGAGAACTCATTTAGGGCAGGGGATAAAGGGGTTAGTTAAATATGGCAGAGTCCCCATCACCCAGAGGACAGAATCAGGAGTCCCCATTACACCTGCAGCCTGCATCTCTCCCCCAGTTCTGATCAGGTCACAGCAACTTCAGTGAGGATTACTATTCTGGAGGGAGTGTGTGGAACCCTTCAGGTAGTGGAGCCAGAGAGCAGTTGAGAGACAGGCTGGGAGCTTGCTGTCTGGTCAAGGTTTCTGGAATCTTCCTATGTATGAGATGACTGAACGCGTTTGCACCATAGGAATTGGATCGCAGAAGGAAAGGTGCAGGATCAGTTAGGTTCAAATATATCAAAGATATCAGAGAGAAGAGGTTTGAGAAGTTTCTAGAGCCTTTGAGGAAATTTCCTGGCAGATGGAGACCCATCTTGAACTCTATCCCTCATAAACTCTATGAGAAAAGTGTGCTAGAAAGGCAGATTCAGAAAGGCAGTGTAGGAAGTTTTTCAGAAAGGGATCAGGGAGCAGGCACCAGGAGGACCAAAGACTGGCTGGGGCAGATGGGAGCAAAAACTCCCTCTCTCACTTCCTCTTTCCCTTTCTTCCTCCTTCCCATTCATCCTCCTTTTTCCTCCTCCCCTCTTCTCTCTTTATCTCCTTCCCTCCCTCCCTCTCTCCCTCCCTTTCTCCCTCTCTCTTTCTCTCTTTCTTTTTCTTTCTTTTTTTTTTCTTTCTTTCTCTTTCTCTCTCTCTCTCTTCTTTTTCTTTCTTTCTTTTCCCCTCCCTCCCTCCCTCCCTCCCTCCTTCCCTCCCTCCTTCCCTCCCTTCCTCCCTTTCTTGCATTCCTGAGGTTTGAATTCAGGGATTACCTTTGCTAATCAAGTGCTCTACCTGGAGCATTCCCCAGCAAGACTCATTTCTTGAGGTACTACTGCACTCACTATTGCACTGGCTACCTTCTCTCCCCTTTCCTCTTTCCTGCCTTTCCTTCTCCCCTCCTCCCTCCCTTCCTTAAGTTATCCATTCTGAGTATTTTTTTATTTGATGAATTTAGCTATGACCCTTGTGTAGAACTGCTGGTGTAACCAGGTGCACAGTCAAGGGAACACAGTGGTCCAGGGTGTCTGATGTGTCTTTTCAAAGGGATGAAGAACAGTGGCTATGAGACCAATGGGTAGGGGTGCTTACATTTTGAGCTCTGGGCACCAGGGACGTTTGACATCCGCAGGAGGTAGACAGTGAAGTGGAGTAGAACTGTATCCCACATGGAGCAACAGTGAACTGCAAGCCTCAATGTGAATGAAAGCATGGTGCTGCCTGCTACCTGCTAGAGTTGTCTAAGATTGAGCCTCTCTAGGGAGGCGGCTTGTCACTATTCAGGGCCCTCGAAAGGAAATATATGTGGTGAGAGATGTGGTTGGAGGAGTCTGAAGGAGCTAGAAGATGAGTAGTCCTCAAGGCCATGTTGAAGAGTGCATTCGCTCTGAGACTTATAGGGCGAGACTTATAGGGCCTTAAGTGGGGAGTGAGAGTTTTAGAAAGATCATCCTGGCTGCAGAACACAGTGTGTATTGGGAGCTGGGAAGGAGTGTGCAAAATCGATTGTCAGGAAGCCAGTGAAGAGTGAGGCTGGCCAGTTTAGGCTTGGGAGGTACTCACTTGAACCAAGGAAAGAAAACAGATGATGGGAGGGAAGGAGGGAGGGAGAGAAGAAATGAGGGAGGGAGGGAGAGAATGGGAGGGAGAGAGTCAATTAAGGACTTAAATCTCCAATGATTGGTGGTCAAGTAGACTTAGTGGCGAAGAGAGGAGGAGCCAAGGGTGGTATGGTATTGGGTTTTTGTTTTGATTTGTTTATGGACTGGTTGTCTAGGTGGGGCCAGTCTTTGGGATGGCATTTGAAAGAAGCAGTTTTATTTTTAATGGGGTAGGGGAGACCAAGATTGCACTTTGGAAAACAAAGGAGGAGGCAATAATGCCCAATAGGAAATGTGCTCATTACCTTGCTCATGTAACTGTAACCCCTCTGCACAGCATTTTTACAATTAAAAAAAAAACATAAAAAAGAATGCACTTTGGGACAAGTTCAGTATGAGAAGCTAGAAGGACACATGGATGAATTGAGAATAAAGATGCTAGGGTGCAGGGTGGAGGGGGGGCGGTGTCTGGATTTAGGAGAGAGAATCAGGAGCAGAAAGTCTATGAGACCTAAGGAGCCCTGGCTTGGTAGGGCTGTGGAGGAAGAGGAGGAGGTTGCCAGGGAGACTCAGCCTCAGAGTAGTAGTGGCCCTGCAGTATAGAATCCAAGAGAGACTAAGGTCAGCTGGGCAGATGCTGTTGAGGACTGAACAAGTGTCCTTTGGGCTGAGCTCAGGAGGTAATGGTTGACTTTGGAAAGAGAAGTTTGCGGGCAGAGTGCGGGGTAATGAGAGAAGACAGGAAGAGAGAGAAGAGAGGGAGGGATGGCTTCCGCAGACAACCCAGAGGAAATGGTGTGGATGGAGTAGACAGCCATGTGCTGGGAAGGCAAGATCAGGCAACAACATGAAGAACGGAAAGGACTGGGAGAGATGGGATTCAGGGAGAGCATGCAGGAGAGCATGGGCAGCAGTAGCTGCAGATACCAAGATGCAGTGTAGTCTGTGCAGTGCTGGGACGGGGGTGGGGCAGAGGACTGAAGGGACAGTTTCAGGCTGGGCAATGGGAGTCCAGGGGTCACACAGATGGAGATCCCAAGCAGTTAACACCAAATGGCATAAGGCAGGTGTGTCCTGGGAGTGGGAACAGTGTGGTGGATGAACATGTGCTGTGTGCTGAGGACACACCTCTAACCTCTGTCTCTGCTTCTCTTCCTTCTGCCTCCGTGGACTTGGTGCTCCACAGCTGTGTGCTCCTGCCTTCTTCCTCCAGGGCCTTCTGCAGACGGTACTAGCACTTACATTGCTGCAGGGCTTTGCTCTGTCTTCAGGGTGAGGGTTCAAGGCAAAGGGAACCGGATCCTTAGCATTCAGAGAGGACCTCATTATCACAGAGCTTGAGGGAGCTAGGAAAGAAGTCTAGAACATGGACATGAAGGATAAATATGTTCTGAGGGCAAGGTATTAATGAATTTTCCTTGGTGACTTTCAAAAAATGTCAGTCACTACCCTGTGAAAAGAAACAGACTTTCTGCCTCCCACTTGAGAGGAACTTGTTCCTTCCCTTGTTCCTGCTATTTGCTCCCTTTGGTCTTGGTCCCACAGTGGGCTGGTTATCAGCCACTAGAGTCCAAGAACAGGCCACAAATGGTCCTTGAAGTACAGCCCTTCCTTTAAGGCAGTCACTCTGGATGCACAGCCACCTGAAGCTGGTAGCCTTAGAGTGCTAGGGAGGACATGAAACTAGGGGTCCCTTTAGCAGCCAGGCCACTGTGGCAGCTGTGTAGGTCCAGTTTCCACCCTCTGAGACAACTTTCCTGGGGACCATGATGGGTGAAGCATGGTACCTCTGGAAGTGCACGTCCTACCCATAACCCTGCCTGGGAAGTCAAACATGTAAGTGATTCTTACATCATGTCAATCTGAGGCTGGGCCTGGAGGAAAGTAACCAGTTCCAACTTTGTGCCCTGGTGACTAGGGATAGTTATAAAGCCAGTGTTGTTCTGAATGATGCTCTGGGTAGTCCAGTTCTCCTCAAGTCACCTCAGCAAGAGCAACACTAATGCCAATGACAAAAACAATGGCACTGACAGTAATAGGAATAATTACACCTACTACCAATTATTAAACACCCTCTGTGTACTGTGCCAGGTACTTCTTATGTTCCTTCTCTCATTGAGTTCTCAAGGCACCTCCATAAATCTTGTTATCCTCCATCTCTTTGATGGTGCTGAGTCACAGGTTGAGTAATCTGCTAGCGTCACATAGCTAAGAAGTGGTGGAGCTGGCTCTGGAATCCGGTTTGGCTAATTCTAGAACTGAGATGCTCCTTGCTCTAGGTCAGGGAAATATATCTGTCAATAGACAGGAGAGAGGGTTGAAATCTTATGGAGACAGGAGAAAGCAATAGTCTTTTTTGTTCCAACCTCCCCCTACATCCTCTATGTCAGAGCACTTGAACATATATTTACCATTCTTTCAGAAGAAGCCTAAAGCAAGTCACTTAGAGAATGAATCCAATGATCCCATTGTTTATTAAATAAGATTATGGCCAGCCAGCTCTGTAAAATATCCAGAACAGTCACTTTAATTATGATTTTACTTTTTCTCGATGTCAAGGGCTCTGTGTATGGAGGTGGAGCAAGTTGAGCATTACACAAAGGCATTGGGCCAAAGAAGGTGCAATGTCTAACATAGATACCGTATATTTGTATTATTATAAAATTTTTCCAGTAGGTGGCAGTCAAGGGTCTTGTCCTATTAGACTTGTAAAAATATGAGACTTCTGACATGGAAGTAGAGTCTTAAAAGAAAAGGAAATTTTGCTTTAATTGCCCTCACACTAATGGCTAGAGATAGGTGATTTTTACTAACCATTATTTATAGATCAAATGAGTTCAAGAAAGGAAAATGATGTAACTTCATGACTGGTGGAGGTATGGTTCCTGCACAATGTTTGCTTCTAACTTCCGCAGTCATAGTTAACTAATGGAGTTAACCCCACCTCTCTTGCCCTCCTCCTCCATGTAGCTCTTTGTGACCATGGATGTAGGGGTGGGGTTCCTGCTCAAGATTTTCTGGGAAATTGTTAGTAGGCCAGAGTTGACAGGTGTCTCTCTTATCCCTGCTCTGTGGTATGGAGGGAGCCTCTCCCGGCGCTGTGGTGATGTCTCCTCTCATTTCTCCGCTTCTCTGTTTTTCCAGTGTACATGTTCTGTTCTCACAGAACATAGAAGTGAGGGGTGGGGTTTGGGCTGGAAGTATCTGGGTAAGGGGATGATAATCCAGTTGAGTCAAAGTCAAGGGGCAGGAGAGGCAGTGGGTAATAGAAGCTGAAGTGGATGGAGTGTGTGTGTGTGTGTGTGTGAGAGAGAGAGAGAGAGAGAGAGTGTAGCAGGTACTCAAAACCTGAACTATGGGAGGAGGGATGACTGTGAGGATTTGTGAATCCTGGAGATGGGACTTTGTACCCTTCTGTCTGCCTGTTTGCCCACTCCTGGGTCTCATCTTTCTGTTCCTATGTCTCTCAATGCATGTCACCGCGTTCCATCCTGTCTCTCTTTTCTCTTACATCTTTGCTTGATCTTCCTGCCACTTTTGTCTCTGTGCTACTTGCTACAGTCGGATGACACAGACCTGCCCTATCCACCACCTCAGAGGGAGGCCAACATCTACATGGTTCCCCAGAACATCAAGCCAGTTCTGCAGCGCACTGCCATTGAGGTGAGTCTGGCCCTGGGTTGGGGTGGCTTTGGGACAGCCTGCCTATTTCCCTTCCTGTCCCTGACACTGTCCTCATCCCCTGTCCTCAGATCCTGGCATGGGGCCTGCGGAATATGAAGAGCTACCAGATGGCCAGTATTTCATCCCCCAGCCTTGTAGTGGAGTGTGGGGGGCAGACAGTCCAGTCTTGTGTCATCAGAAACCTCCGGAAGAACCCCAATTTTGACATCTGCACTCTCTTCATGGAAGTGGTGAGCCCCATTTCCCTATTTTCTGTCCCCTTCTGGAGTCCAGAGGGCTAGATGTTTTCCTGGCCCTGGGCATCCTAGGGGCTGAGCTCCAATTACCTGTAGGCTCCCAGCACATCATTTTTCTGCAACAACAAGGAGGAAATGCTTGTGCTGCCCTATGAGCAGCACAAATGGAGTTAGCTAGCTCTCTTCTGCCCAGGTCTAGATCAGAGGACCCCTCCTCTCCCAGGAGCCATTCCAGGGCTGTTTTTGGGACAGGACCTTACAAACTCTGACCTATTAGAGACTCCCAGCCTAGGCCTGGCAGAGGAGCTCCACCCTTGCATTCCCCCTCTCCCCCTCAGCCCTCTCCAGCCCTCTGGATTGCCTGGGTCTAGTGGCCAGTGTAAGGCAGGTCTAAGGAAAGGAAAACAGTTTGCGAGATGACAGTTTGCAAGATGAAAGCTCTATAGAAATTCCAGGCCCAGTGGCTGTCAACAGGAGCCTCCTCTTGGCTGAGCCAAAGCCGCCACTGAAGGAGAGCATATAAATTATTTCAAGTTGTGTTCAAAGTACATTTGGGGTGGGGGGAGAAAAATCTGGGTCTGTAAGCCAACTCCTGAGTATCCACTTGGGGGGGACTGTCTGCAAGAAATCTTGAGTCCTGGGCCAACTCTCCTCTCCCCCTCCTCAGCCAGTGAGAGTTCAGGGAAAGTCAATTTGCTCAGACTTCAGGCTGAGCTGAGTGTGTTGGCTATGGGGGAAGCCAGCCTCTGCATGTAGCATGAAGAGGCCAGCAGAAAGTTGTGTGCCCTCAGCTCCTACACTAGGCCAACAGCCATTTTGGATTTCTGGCTCTTGGTGATAGTCTGGGTTTACAGGCATTGTCTGCTCCTTGATCCTATGGTGAAAAGCCCTCTTTACTTCCTTTCCTGAAACTTCCCAGAGATGGGCTCAGGTTGGTATCCAGAACAGCATGCTTCTTCCTCCTCTAGATGCTGCCCAGGGAGGAACTCTACTGTCCCCCCATCGTGGTCAAGGTCATTGATAACCGTCAGTTTGGCCGCCGGCCTGTGGTGGGCCAGTGTACTATCCGCTCCCTGGAGAGTTTCCTATGTGACCCCTATTCAGCTGAGAGTCCATCCCCTCATGCTGGCCCAGGTAGGGAGTGAACAGTGGCTTTTGCTCAGCTACACCAGAGGTAGGTCCTTCCCCTTCCTCAGCAGTGGACACTTGGAGCAGGCAACTCATATTTGGGGGAGCTGAGGAGCAGTGGTTGGAATGGGGGACAGTGGGAAGAGGTAAGGGGAAGCAAATGTTAAGGAGGCAATGAGAGGAAGTGAGATTTGTGAGGAGAGGAAGAGAGAATTGGGAGTGTGGGGCAAGATGGGATAGAAACAGGAGAGGGAAGGACCAGGTGGGAGAAGTGTGAAAATCCTCAGGGGTCCTATGACAGCATCCTAATGGAGCTCACCACAGGCCTGGACACCACTCTTCTTACAGATGATGTGAGTTTACTCAGCCCTGGAGAAGACGTGCTCATTGACATTGATGACAAGGAGCCCCTCATCCCCATCCAGGTATGCTGGGTCCTATGGGAGAGGCTCCTTCGAACTTCCCTTCTCCCTCTGCTCCTCATCTCATTCTGGCTTCACTACAATGCAGCCATGATGAAACATCTCCCTTCACCCTCTGGGGGTAGGGGTGGGATGGGTGCCACAAGTAAAGGAATCTGGCTGGGGATTAGATTCAGTTCCATTGAAAGAGGAGCTGAGTGGTCTTCAGGGTAAGATTACCAACCTTTTTTTCTTGGGCCTCTTTATCTTAGGGTCATGTTGAGGGTGTTTACTCAGCAAATCAGGGTAGGGAAACAAATGAAAGAGAAGGCAGATGAGAGGAAATGTTGGAGTCTTGGGGTGTTCTAGCCCTAACTACCCTAACCTGGGCAGTCCCCTTATGGAGCGAATGGGGGGAGATTTTTTCCATGGGTTTGTATTTGGTGGCATTTTGGAGGCAGTTTAGAAAGACGATGCCTAGGCTACTGGTGCATCTTGTCCCATGCCCTTAGGAAAAAGAAGGGAAAGGAACAGGAAGAAGGACATGCAAAGGCTCCAGACTGGAGGGAACTTAGTCCATGGTGACCTAGCTGCAGTGAAAACGTTGTGACTGGATGTCTGTGGCATCTTCTACCCAGGGACAGTATTGTCTCCATCTTGGGCCCAAGAGGGGCTCTGGATCCCATAGGTCTGTGTCCACCTGGTCCTTCCTATGGTAGGGATAGAGAAATGAGCACTAGCCTTGAACTCACTGTTTAAGCCCTCACCTTCCTTTGCACATTGCGAGCTCCACATTCTGTTACCCCAGATTTCTAGCACTTCCTGGAACCCTGGGGGGAAAGCACCTTCTCCCAGCCTAGTAGGCAGCACTGTGTCCTCAGGCTACCACCTGTTGATTTACCCAGGATAGTGGCATTATCTGGAGTGCTCTATAGTCTTCATCCATCCATCCTGTGCCGTAAGAGGGAGAGAACAAACCTAGGTGCTGGATTGGCTTCAGGATGGGAGGCCTCATTTGTAAAATTACCCCTGGCCATGTGTATGCAGGGCTCCCCTCTGACATTTAGGGTGCTTTCTTCCTCTTTCTCACCCTCCCATCTTTCTGTCAATTGCCGACAGAGCATTTCCAGTGTTCAGTTCTGTAGCCTCATGGCTGCTGAGGGTAGTGATCTTGTTCTGTAGTTTTACTGATAATATAAGAAGTCACCAAAGCCCTGAGCTCTCATCTCTCAGCCCCTTCATGGCTTTCAGGTCTCTGTCCTTCCTTCCTTCTGCTGAGGAAAACTTTGTCCTGTTCTGTGGCCTGACTCATTCTTTAAGCCTCAAGGTAGGTGTCTTCCCTGGTTCCCGCCCTTCTCCTATAGGATCTTGACCACTGCACCCACTCCCCCGGTCCTGTGTATCTGTCAGTCTCAACATCTTCCCTGGACTGAGTTTAGAACACAAATGGATTGTCATTCTCTTTATACCCTTCTTGTCCAGCACAGGGCCTGACTTAGAGAAGTGTTCAGTGAGTCTGTCTGGACAGGCAAATATGGATAAGTGGGGGATGGGTGGAAAGATGGGTCCACTGTCTGGATGAGTCTGAGAGCAAAACTCTCCTGTCTGGAAAGGCCAAGTGGAAATTTCAGATGGTTCTACAGGAACTGTAGCTAAACTCCACACTGTGTCTCTGGCCTGGTTGAGTGTTTATAGCTGAATTAGCCCCAAACTCTGGATTGCCAGGTCCTAGCTCCTGTGTTCCACCCCCTTGGTGGGCCTGTCTGAGACAGCAGGGAAGTGCAGTGCTTGCCCAGCAGGATTTCCGTTCTCTATGTGCTGCCCTTAAAGTGTCTACAGACTCAGATGCAGAGTTCCCTTTATTTTGGGTCCTGCTGGCTACAAACAGCCAGAGGCAGACAGTGAGGAGGCCCAGGCTGGACCTCCTCCCGGTGTTGACACGAGGGAACTGGGGCTGGGGTCTGAGGCCTGTGTTCTTTGTGGAATGCATGGCCATTCCTGCTAGACCTGCTGGCAAGGAAGAAGGGTGGCCAGTGGGAGTTGGGATCCTGGAGGTGTGTCATAGAGGGAGGGCCCAACCTCACCTGGTCAGTGGACAGGAAGAGGAGGAAGTAAGACCAGCCTGTTCTGATGGAGCAGTTTTGGGCTCTACCCTTACTGTCTAATTCTGAAGGAGCTCCAAGTTCAGCCTCAAATTTAGACTGGCCTCCTTGGGCCTGACTGTCTGGAGAAGTCTATAGTGTGGAGTCTGATTTTGTATACTGTTTTCTCTGACATCTATTGATCTGGCTTGAGTGATCCAGATTTTCCATCTCTCTGTCTCTCACTCCTCCATCTCTCATTTGTAACCCCTGGCCTAGTGGAGGACCGGGGACTCCTCCAAGGTTGATCTAGGTACAGAGGGCTCCAGTTCCTTTGGCCAAGCACTCTTTCCCTGTTCTTCCTCTGTAGATAAAACGAAAGGCCCTGGCCTCTAGGGACTGGAGGCACAGGAAGGCTGACAGGGACTTTTCCTGGCTTCTGCTTGTCCAGCCTATGTTTCATTCTTATAGTTGATGCCACACCTCTGGTTGTACACTAAGTCTTGGCTATGGTCCCAGCCTTGGGCTCCTTCCAAGCCAATTCCCATTCTTGCCAGATTCTGCCTTCTTTTCTTCCCTTAGTTATATCTTCTCTCTGTCCAAGAAGCCTTCTTCCCATCCACTGCCAGGTCCTGAGAGGAGTCTAGCACACAGATGAAAAATGTCACCTGAAACTCAATGTTCCAGCCATAGCTGGAACTCAGGGCAGAACTCAGGTGGTTAGTAGTGTCTTGGTTTGTGTCGAGTGGTCAGTTCTGGATATATAAGACAGATCTATCAGCTTGGCCTTCTGGATTGTATAGGCCCGTGTCTGTCTGGGGCTAAGGAGATTCTGAGTGGGTGGAGGCCATGAAGGCTTGGATGAGACACTCTGTGTGGCTGACTGCTATATAGGTTTCAGACTGATAGCTTAGGAGTGGTGTGTGTGTGTGTGTGTGTGTGTGTGTGTGTGTGTGTGTGTGTGTGTGTGTGTGTGTGATAGGTGGTGTATGTGTACGTATACATGTGTGTGTTAGAGGTAATGTGTGTGAATATATATTGGGCATGGAAGTTTGCAAGGAGACACTTGACAGGCTGGTCTGGAAGATCCTTGGAAGGCAGCATAGACCTGCTCCTCATGCCTGTGGGCTGAGGTACAAGGACTGGCATGCCCTTACACCCCAGTAATTCCCTGCTTTCCAGGATCTCAGGCCCTAGGTTTTCTCATTCCAAGGCCTTTGGGTCCCAGGCTCCTTGATTGCTAGGCCTCCAGAACCCTAGTCGTCAAGCCTTCAGCCACCCATACCCCTAGGCTCTCACACCCTAGGTCTTCACCTTTACATCCCCTGATTTCTAGGCTCCTAGTCCCCCAAGCTCCTGGTCCCCAAGCCCTCAGGTTCTCAGAGCTCCAGATCTCCAGTCCCCCCGGGTCCCAGGCTGGGCTTAATTTTGAGCTTGGTGTTCTAGTTATAGTCTCTGGGAGAGCATGAAGGTGGAAGTGCACTTCCAGAATCGGAGCAGCAAATTATGCCCACATCTCAAAAAAGGAATGTGTAATTTCTGAAGCTGGACTAGATCTTTGGAGCACTATGTTTAACCTTATTTTTTCATCCTTTTGCTCTGCTGAACTGCCTGTTTCCCTTTTACCTTTCTAAAAAAGAACTGTATTCAAATAAAAATAAAAATAAATCTTCAGTGCGGTTCAGGATGAGAATAGGAGAGGCAGGCCAGTCTCTGGTGAGCTGGGGGTTGTACATGGAGTTCGTCCAGTCTGATCCAGGGCTTAGACTGTGTCCAGCAACATGTGGCCAGCAGCCCTGGGTGGTTGCCATTGGCTATTCTACCCTCCCACTCAGGCTTCTGGATTTGGTGCACCCCCTCCCCCCCACTCAGTGATGCTCCTTGTACTGAGCAGGAAGAGGTCTATTGCCTTCAACCCTCTCCATTTTCCAACAAGGCTTCCTCCTCCGCCATGTGGAATGTTTCCCCTGGGCTCCTCCTCGAGTGGATGTGAGGTCAGCATGGAGCTTGGCCTTTGTAGATATCTCCTAGAGCCCTCTGCTCAAGGTTTCAAGGAAGAGACAGCCTTGCAACTCTGCATCCCTTCTGGCCCCACCCTCACCTTTCTGGGACTGCCCTCCACTGCCCTTGCCTTCCTTCCTGGGTTGTTTGCCTTCTCAGCTGTGCTGTGTTTCTTTATTCGTCTGCCCTCGCCACTCCTCTGCCAAGAATACACGCCTTTGCCTTGTCCAACTGTGAAGCTGCTGCCTCCACCCAGAACCCAGTCAACTTCTTCTAGGACCAACCAGTCTCCCTGTCTCTGGTCCTGATCTCTGAGGCCCTCCTTGGCCCTACGGCCATTTGTAGGATAGGGATGGTGGGTTGGGCGATGGAATTCTTGAGTTTTCCCAATTTAAGGCTCTGGGGGAGCTGTGAGATGCTGTGATTCTTGAGGAGAGAAGGATGAGAAATATAGCCTCACTTAGGAGCCCTGCTCAGCAGAGATGGATGGTTTAGCTAGTAAAGGAGCTCATGAAAGGATTGTTAGGGGTAGGAATGTCCCTGATGTAGATTTAGGAAAGATAGGGAGAGCAGCTAAGTGGACAGGACCAAGAGAAGCGATAAAGAAATAAGATAGCATTGATGGAACCTTTTTCTGTGTCTCACCTACAGCTGTACTGGCATAAACTTTGTCTCATTCATGCTTACTGCTGCTCTGTGAAATAGGTTTTGCACCTATTCTCCAGATGAGAATGTTAGTTAGAGAGATCAGTGCTTGCCTCAAGTCATACAGATTATAGGGCTATGCAGCCAGGTTTGTCCATCTCAGGACATTCTTCCCATGACTGGTGGAGTGGTGCCTGGATGGAGAGCAAGGGCACTGTTCCCTCAGGGCTGTCCTGTCTTCCCTGAGGTGGATCTTCTAACCCTGTGGCTAACCAGAATGTTTAATTTGTAGCTTGCAGATGGTCTGTCCAGTTTGGCTCCTACTAACATGGCGTCTTCTCCAGCCAGTCCTCATGTATGTATTGCTTACTTATCTGTGGGCTCCTTGATTTCCCTTTGAGGGCTGGGGAAGGGAACAGAGGAGGGGAAATAGAAGTGGTATCTCCTGAGACTTAGCAAAAAAATAATGCTCACATGTATGTACCCAGCATGCAGTAGTGAAGGATGGGGAGAAAACTCCAGGGCAGAGTCTCAGAAACAAATGCCCTTATTCTACTTCCTGGTGCATCCTGGGATTTCAATCTTGTTTTACCCATGTGAAGGCTGGGGGTCAGGTGAGGCTGCATGGGTCAGTGGAAATAGGACGTTCTATAGCTTAGATCGCAACTTGGGATTCAAGACGCCTCAGTGGGTGACAGCAGGCTGATGTTCTTTGTTATTCCCAGACATGTGGAGTGTGTGTGTGTGTGTGTGTGTGTGTGTGTGTGTGTGTGTGTGTGTGTGTGTAAAAGAGAGAGACAGTGGGGAGAGAGAAAGTGGGAGGTGGGAGGGAGAGAAGAGAGAAAGATATTGAGGAACTCTGGCTAGTCCTAGAAGGTTCTGGGAGGTCAATTTGGGTCAGCACTTGCATTTTCCAGCAAGGCTTCTTTCTGCCTGCCTCTTTTCCAGGTGTTGTTTTTGGAGTGTGGGTCCCTCCAGGATGATAATTTTGGTGTCGAGCTTTCAACATATATGAATGAAGGTCCACACTCAGGACCAAGGGGTTCCCTGACCTGCTCGGGGAGGCATAAGACATAAGACCTGCCAGAATTCCATTATGGGCTTCCAGGAGAAGGCAATGATGTCTCTCTCTCTCTCTCTCTCTCTCTCTCTCTCTCTCTCTCTCTCTCTCTCTCTCTGTGGTGTGTGTGTGTGTGTGCCTCTCCTGGAGTTGAACTCACGGCTTGGGCACTCTATCCTTGAGCTTTTGTATTCAAGGCTAGTGCTCTACCAATTTGAACCACAGTACCATTTCCAGCTTTTTGGCAATTAATTGGGGGTAAGAGTCTCATAAACTTTCCTGTCCAGGATGGCTTCGAACCTCAATCCTCAAATTTCAGCCTACTGAATGGCTAGGATTATAGACGTGAGCCACTGATGGCTAGCAACAATGCCTACTTTTATTTTATTACGATTTATCTTTTGTAGAAGATATGGAAAGCAACAAATTTAGGGCAGAGAGCTGAAGCTACCTTTATTTCTATCAATTAAAGATAAGCACAGTTTAGACATCTTTTATGTATATGTGAATACTTGTTAAAACAAAATTGAAGTCACATTATACCCTTTTTATAATCTGCAATTTAAAATTCAAAAACACAGCATAATGTTTTTCTAAATTAAAAAAAAATGTTTGAGATAGTCTTACTATGTAGCCTAGGATGACCTTGAACTTGAGATACTCTCATCAGCCTCCCAACTGCTTAGTGCTAAGACTACAGAAAGTACTACCACATCCAGCTTTTCAATTTTTTATAGTCATATCATTTTTATAATATCATGTCATAAATGAATTGACTACATCTTATCATTGGACATATAATTTGTTAATTCTCCCAATTGTCCTTGTTTTATATGCCTTATAGGAGTTATTTTAGTTTGCTGAGTCTAGCTACTTCTTACCTAAATTTATTCCTACGTGTTTTGGACCTCTTTGGTGGGTCTCAATGAATATTTCTTTTCTAATAACTAACACTACTGTTCAACTATAGGAAAACAATATTTTTGAACCCTTACTTTGAAACTAATTCTTTGTTAAGTCCCTTCATTAGTTTTTACAGTTGTTAGTTGATTTTGTTTTTAATAAGTTTTTTTATTGTGAAAATACCGTACAAAGGGGTTATAATCACAAGAGCAAGGTAACAAGTACATTTCTTTTTTTAAATTTTTTAAAATTTTTTATTTTTTATTTTTTTGTGAACACACTGTACAGAGGGGTTACAATTACATGGGCAGGTTAATGCATACATTTCTTATCAAGCATTGCAGCCTCCTCCTTTGTTTACCCTTCACATCCCTTCCCAGACAAGTACATTTCTTATCAAGCATTGTTGCCTCCTCCTTTGTTTTTCCCCTACCATCCCTTCCCTCCCACCTCCACAACTACATCCCCCTTGCTACCCCCCACTCCCCCTACCCCCCACCTAAATTGTAAAGTTCATTTTTCAACATAGTATCTTGTACATCTCATTGTTACAATGGGTCCACCTGTATCCCTATTTAAACAATTTGTTTTTTTTCCTTTCACTCCCCAAATTATAGTGAAATATAGTGAAAACAGGGGTTATACCATGGGGGAGAGACATACAAAGCAACAAAAAAATCACGTGGTACCTTATAAATACATTAGGGGTTCATAAATACATTGGGGTTCATTTTGCTTAACATCATCTTATTTGGTCTTTTCTGCTTGTCTCAGACATATACTAGTTATTGCAAATAAATGAAACCTTGGGACCCATGTTTGTTTGCACCTAGCTTACGTCACTTAATATAATTTTTTCCATGTCTTTCCATTTCCTAACAAATGGGGCAATGTCATTCTTTCTGATGGAGGCATAGATTTCCATTGTGTATATATAGCACCTTTTCTTGATCCATTCATCTACTGAGGGGCATCTGGGTTGGTTCCATATCTTAGCTATGGTAAATAATGCTGCGATAAACATAGTTGTGCTGGTAGCTTTAGTGTGGCCTTGTTTGTGATCATTTGGGTAAATGTCCCAAAGTGGGATTGAGGGGTCATAGGGGAGCTCTATGTGGAGTCTTTTGAGGAACCTCCATACTACTTTCCAAAGTGGTTGAACAGATTTACACTCCCACCAACAATGCAGTAAAGTTCTCTTCTGTCCACATCCCCTCCAGCATCTGTTGTTATTAGAGTTCTTGATTATAGCCATTCTAACTGGGGTAAGTGGTATTTCAATGTTGTTTTGAGTTGCATTTCTTTTATGCTAGAGAGGTTGAGCATTTCTTCATGTATCTATCTTTTTTTTTTTTTTGGGTCCAGTCATGGGGCCTGAACTCTGGGCCTGGGCGCTGTCCCTCAGCTCTTCAGCTCAAGGCTAGCACTCTACCACTTGAGCCACAGCGCCACTTCGTCTTTTTACTGTTTGCTTATGTGGTACTGAGCAATTGAACCCAGGGCCTCTTGCATGCAATGCAAGCACTCTACCACTGATCCACCTTCCCAGCCCCTCTATTGGCCATTCTTATTTCTTCGTCAGAGAAGTTTCTCTTTTTATAATATATACGTATTTTTTATTGTGAAAATACCGTACATTTCTTATCATTGTTGGCTCCTCCATTGTTTTCCCTTCGCATCCCTTCCCGTCGCGCCCCCGCCCCTCCCCCTACATCTCATTATTGCAAGTAGTTTCTCTTTAAGTCTTTAGCCCACTTATTTATTGGGCGGTTGTTTCTTTGAGGATTTGTTGTTGGGGGATTTAATTTTTTGAGTTCCAGGTATATTTTAGATATTAGACCCTTGTCCGTTGTATGGCTAGTGAAGATCTTCTCCCAATCCGTAGGCTTTCTATTGATCTTGCTAGCTATGTCCTTTGCCATGGAGAAGCTCTGCAACTTCATGCAATCCCATTTGTCCAACCTTTCTTTGATTTGTTGTGCTTTTGGGTCTCTATTAAGAAAATTTCAGCCTGTGCCAAGAAGACCTAGGGTTTCTCTATTCTGTCCTGCAATTTTTTCAGGGTGTCTCCTTTGACTGAGGTCTTTGATCCATTTGGAGTTGATTCTGGTGCAGGGTGATATATAAGGATCTAGCTTTAGTTTTCTACAAGTGATTAACCAATTTTGCCAGCACTATTTACTGTCTTTCTTCCATTCTATTTTTTTAGCTCCCCTATCAAAGATTAGATGGCTATAGGTCTGTAAGTTCATTTCTGGGTTTTCAATTCTATTCCATTGGTCCTGAAGTCTCTTTTTGTGCCAGTACCAAGCTGTTTTGATTACTATGGCTTTGTAGTAGAGTTTGAAATTTGGTATTGATATTCCTCCAGCACTGTTCTTTCTGTTAAGGATTGTTTTTGCCATTCAGGGTATTTTATTGTGCCATATGAATTTTTGGAATCCCTCTTCTATTCCTTGAAGAATGAGGTTGGAATAAGTATCACATTGAATTTGTAAATAGCCTTGGGAATTATTGTCATTTTCACAATGTTGATCCTTCCAATCCAGGAGCCTGGGAGGTTTTTCCACTTTCTAAGTTCTGTTTTGATTTCCTTTTTCAGATTTTTAAAAGTTTTTCATCATAGAGGTCCTTCACTTCTTTGGCTAATTCCTAGGTATTTTATTTTTTGTGGGCTATTACGAATGGATTTGCTTTCCTGATTTCAGCCATGCTCTTCTCATTGTTGGCATACAGAAAAGCAATTGATTTTTGAGGGTTAATTTTATACCCTGCTACTTTGCAGCTTGAGTAATTTGGGAGTGGAGTTCATGGGATTCTTTAAATACATGATCATGTCATCTGCAAAGAGGGAGAGTTTTACTTCATCTTTCCCTATTTGGATCCCTTATATGTTTGCATCTTGTCTTATTGCTGTTGCTAAGCATTCTAATACTATATTGAAGAGAAGTGGAGAGAGTGGACATCCTTGTCTCATTCCTGAGTTTAGAGGAAATGGCTTTAGTTTTTCACATTAAGTATAATGCTGGCTGTAGGTTTGTCATACACAGCCTTTATTGAGGAATGTTCCATGGATTCCTACTTTTTCCAAAGCCTTCATCATAAAAGGGTGCTAGATCTTGTCAAATACTTTTTCTGTATCTATTGAGATAACCATGTGGTTCTTATCTTTGCTCTTGTTGATATGAAGAATTATATTGATTTGCATATATTGAACCAACTTTGCATCCCTAAAATGAATCGTGTTTGATCGTGGTGTATGATTTTTTGGATGAATTGTTGAAGTCGATTGGCCAAGATTTTGTTGAGAAGTTTTGCATCGATGTTTATCAAAGAAATGGGTCTACAGTTCTTTTTCTTTGATGAGTCCCTGCCTGGTTTTGGGATGAGTG